GTTAAATAGTTCGAGAAAGGCCTGGGTAATGAGGGATCAAAGACCACTGCAGCTCCGGTAAGGATTACCTTTCATTCCCCCCGGAATAATCCCATCGACGACATGGCCCAAGCAAAGGCTGTGTGTGTGTGTGTACTCACCTAATTGTGGTTGCAGGGGTCGAGACTCAGCTCCTGGCCCCTGTGTGTGTGTGTGTGTGTGTGTGTGTGTGTGTGTGTGTGTGTGTGTGTGTTGTGTGTGTGTGTGTGCGTGTGTGTGTGTGTGTTTGGGTGTGTGGGTGTGTGTGTATTCACCTAATTGTGGCTGCAGGGGTCGGGTCGTAGCTCCTGGCCCCGCCTCTTCACTGGTCCTCACTAGGTCCACACTCTCTCCCTGCTCCATGAGCTTTATCATACCTCTTAAACCTATATATGGTACCTGCCTCCAGTACCTCACTTTTTAGACTGTTCAATTTCCTGACAACTCTGTGACTGAAGAAATACTTCTTAACATCTCTGTTACTCAACTGAGTCTCTAACTTCCAATTTGACCCTTTTTGCTTGTCCCATCTCGGGGAAAACCCTGTCTTTTCATTTTGTCAATTCCTCTCATTTTTATATGAAATTACCATGCCTCCCCCTCTCCCCCCTCCGTCCTCCAGTGTCGTAAGGTCGAGCTACCTTTAACCTCTCCTCGGGGAAAACCCCTTAGTTGGGGGACTAGTCTTAGTTTCCTGAAGTGCTTGGGCCCAGGTGTGGGTTCCAAACTGGTGCTGCATACTCCAGTATGGGCCTGACGTACACTCTGTACAGGGTGCTGAACTACTCATTACTGAGATGTCGGAACGCTGTTCTGGGTTCGCTATCCCCCCATATGCTGCGCAATTTTTTGGTTGATGTGTTTCTGGGTATTATAATTCCAAGATCCTTTTCCTTGAGGAGGTTTGGGGTTTTTGGGCCCCCCTAGACTATACATCATGTCCCGGTCTTTTTTTTTTTCCCCGTTTTCTGACTTTGCACTTGGGGGGGTTGAACTCCAGGACCAGTTGCGGGACAAAGCCTGCCCCTTTTCCAGATCCCTCTGTAATCCTATATACTTTATTGGGCGTGTGTGTGTGGTGTACTCACTTAGTTGACTCACCTATTTGGGGTTGCAGGGGTCGAGCCTAGCTCCTGGCCCCCCTCTTCACGGGCGGTGGAAAGTTGGGGTGGGTGTGTGGGTTGGTGTGTGGTGTGTGTGTGTGTGTGTGTGGTGTTGTGTGTGTGGTGTGGTGTGGATGTGTTTAGTTGTGTGAAAATGTGTATTTCCTTTTCATTCTTACCATTGATCCACTGCAGCATTTATGCTCAGTCCCTTTTCCCTTCGTTTGTGGGATCAGTACAACGGGGTACGGTTTTCTTATTGTGTCCCCTGAGGGGGCTATTTACTGAACATCACATGCTCACGCTGGAGCGGGAGCGCAAACAAACCAGGGTTTTTGAGGTCACAATGGACCTTAAACATAGCCCCCTGAGCTAGTTCAAAAGAACAAATATTTTAGTCATTTCGTTTATAAATTTCCCTTCGAAGTTAATGTACCAGTACACATGACGAACCGTCTTGAGGAAATTCAAGAAGATTATTACCACTAAAAGACATTATCATTTTACTCTTCAGTTTCAATAAAAATAAGCTGCCAACAGCAAAATCCAGTGTGTGGCATACTAGGATATGTTACATTTTTTTGGCGTATTCACACTCCCCAAACCCGCGAACCAGGGCTAAGAATTTAAAAGATCAATGGGGCCCCTGGTTTATACCATACCTCGGTTTTATGCCCAAACACAGACAAGCCCGCCAGAGCTGTAAGCGTGTGGCACTTTTTAACCCATTTTAGCAGTCGCCGGCTGCGGTTGTTCACTAGTTCCCCCGGACTCTGCATTTTTTCCTCCTTTGATCACTTTACACTCGCTTTACATTATTTTACTATTAAATAGTGTACAAATTTTTTTAGTAACGCTTTCTTGTTTGGTGAAGGAAATACAAGTCATATAAATTTGTTGTCTTTTGCTTGCCCAAGATTTTACCCTTAAGACCAGGTTTTTTGGGAGACCGTACTACACCTGTGTTTGGGAATAAGTGTTGGGCCTGCCGTGTCCCCACCCAGTAGACTCTGTCTCTTTCCACACACCCGGGATGGTCCCAGTTACGGATGTAGTGTAAATTTCAAACTTCACGTGAAGCAGGCGTGGGAGGGGGTAGGGGTTTTGGCAGGCTTGGCGGCTGTGACAGGGTGTGGGAGGCTGTGGCAGGGTGGGAAAGGCTGTGGGAAAACTGTACAGTTTGGCAGGCTATGGGGACTGTGACAGGCTGTGGCGGTGGAGGTGTGGGGAGGCTGTGGCAGGCTTGGCGGCTGTGGCACTGTGGAGGCGTGGAGGCTCCCCACAACACAAACGACAAACAACCGACCCAAAAATTTTATGCTAGTCATATAATTTTTTCTGTCTGTTTCTTTTTCTCATTTACCAACCTCTTCTCTCACTACACTGTTCTTAGGCATTATCTCTTCTGCCTCTCCTTCCTCCCACTATTCTCCCTCTTATTTAATTACCTTACCCCATCACACCCCGTTCCCCCTTCCATCTCGCTTTCACTCCTTCCACTCCCACTTTATTCCTTTCCCTTACTCAGTCCTTTCTCGATGCCTTCTCTTATTATTCTTTCTTACTTCCATATTCCGTAGCTCTCTCTTCCTTCTTCTTTCCAGCTCTGTTCCCCCCTCCCGTTTCCCTTCCAGTTTTCATTACATTTGCCTTATTTCCCTTTACTTCAAATTCCCAATTCTCTTCTCGTTTCCCTTCCATCTCCCCATCTTCGCCCCTCCCTTGCCTCTCACTTCTCATCCCCCTTCTTTCCTTCTCATGCTCTCCCTCTCCATCCCCGCTTTCTTCCCCTCCTCCTCACCCACCTTCGTGTCTCCCAAACAAATAGGCGACCATAATGTTCACAATCACCAGCCTCACAAATGGATACATTCTCCAGCTCTCACTCTCTACTGCTCTCATTCTGCTGCTCTCACTCTCTACTGCCTCAATCTGCTGCTCTCACTTTCTACTGCTCTCATTCTGCTGCTCTCACTTTCTACTGCTCTCATTCTGCTGCTCTCACTCTCTACTGCTCTCATTCTGCTGCTCTCACTTTCTACTGCTCTCATTCTGCTCCTCTCACTTTCTACTGCTCTCACTCTCTGCTGCTTTCATTCTCTGCTGCTTTCACTCTCTACTGCTTTCACTCTCTGCTGCTTTCACTCTCTGCTCCTTTCACTCTCTGCTGCTTTCACTCTCTGCTGCTTTCACTCTCAACTGCTTTCACTCTCTGCTGTTTTCACTCTCTGCTGTTTTCACTCTCTGCTGCTTTCACTCTCTACTGCTTTCACTCTCTGCTGCTTTCACTCTCTACTGCTTTCACGCTCTACTACTCTCACACTTGCTGCTGCTCTCCACTCTCTGCTGCTCTCACTCTCTGCTGCTCTCACTCTCTGCTGCTCTCACTCTGCCGCTCTCACACTGCTGCTCTCACTCTCTGCCGCTCTCACACTGCTGCTCTCCTCTCTCTCTGCCGCTCTCACTCTCTTGTTGCTCTCAGTCCTGTGTTCTCACTCTCTGCCACTCTCACTCTCTGCTGCTCTCCACTCTCTGTTGCTCCTCACTCTGTTGCTCCTCTTACGTCTCTGCCGCTCTACTTCTCTGCCGCTCTCACCCCTCTGCTGCTCTCACTCTCCCTTGTTCTCATCTCTCTGCCACTCTCACTCTCTTGCTAGTCTCACTCTCTAACTGCTCTCACTTCGTCTCTGTTGCTCTTATTCTCTGCCGTTCTCACCCTCTGCCGCTCTCACTCTCTGTTGTTCTCACTCTCTGCCACTCTCACTCTCCGCTGCTCTCACTCTCTGCTGCTCTCACTCTCTGCTGCTCTCACTCTCTGCTGCTCTCACTCTCTGCTGCTCTCACTCTCTGCTGCTCTCACTCTCTGCTGCTCTCGCTCTCTGTTGTTCTCACTCTCTGCCACTCTCACTCTCTGCTGCTCACACTCTCTGCTGCTCTCACTCTCTGCTGCTCTCTCTCTCTCTGCTGCTCTCACTCTCTGCTGCTCTCACTCTCTGCTGCTCATCACTCCTCTGCTGCTCTCGCTCTCTTGTTGTTCTCACTCTCTGCCACTCTCACTACTCTGCTGCTCACACTCTCTGCTGCTCACACTCTCTGCTGCTCTCTCTCTCTCTGCTGCTCTCACTCTCCTGCTGCTCTCACTCTCTGCTGCTCTCATTATCCTCTTCCTATAATCACCGCCCATCTTCTATTAGGAAAAATTATTATTTCTGCCTAGAGAAAACTACCTGACAGGTGAACTTTCAGAGAGACGAGAAGCGATGCGATTTGAAATTGATGCGTGTGAGAAGAAAAAATGGGAGGAAGAGATGGATAGAGTTAAATGAATGAAAGGTGTGTGTATGTGTGTGTGTGTGTGTGTGTGTGTGTGTGTGTGTGTGTGTGTGTGGTGTGTGTGTGTGTGTGTGTGTGTGTGTGTGTGTGTGTGTGTGTTCTTTAAGATTCATTACCCTGAGGAAAACATCAATCATTCCTGGCCTATGGTAAATAATAATGATAATTTTGTATTTTTGCTATCATTATTTTTATAATTATTATTATTTTTGCTATTATTTTTATTATTTTTCCTATTATTATTATTATTATTATTATTATTATTATTATTATTATTATTTTATTATTATTATTATTATTATTATTATTATTATTATTATTATTATGAATATTATTATTATTATTATTTTGCCTTCATCATCATCACCACACACATATTAACACGGTCACTGTTACAGTGTATGGCCCGTCAGGTCAACATGTGCTTCACTATTCTCAATTATCATCAATCACAATCACACTGTTAATGCTTATTGCTGCGCCAGCATTGGTAACCGGAACGTATTATTATTTTAAGGGCAGGGGAAGGGATTAATATTTATTAAGTTTACTCTCATTAAACTTTATTAATTTTGCTGAATACCGCCGCGACAAATTTCAATTTGACGATTCGCGTATAAATGCAATGTTGCATTTATACGCATATATATCGTTCCCCTGGACGATACCGTCGGGGCATACTGCTCATTTCTGCAACATTGCAAGTTCTTCATGTGTTGATTGGAAAACGAAAGGCCTAGAGCTATCATTCGATTCTGTGGTTGTATATTTTTATATAACTTACATTATCTCACAATTCCACAGCAGGATTCGAACCTGCATACTCGGCATCAGAGTACACAGAGAGGTACAGCCTCCAGAATTAACTGCTGGGGACCCACAACCTCCAAGAATAGAATCAACCTGCTTCAACTCGGGTTGCTTCTCGGAACCATTTGAGTATTTTCTTCACCTCGCCTTCCTTGTCTGATGCGTGTTTGAACTTAATTTGAATATAAAACATACGAAAAACAAATATACATTGGGAAGCAGAACAACACACATGATACCACACGTCTGGACTGCTTGTTCGCCTGTGTTACAGGTTAAGTTATCAAATCCCTTTTAGAGTAGAGTATCAGATGCGATGTATCAAATCAGTGTTTGAATCTTTGGCTGACTTAGTATAGGTCACTTATTATCGCCGCCGGCCGCCGCCGCCGCCGCCGCCCTGTGTTGACTTGCATCTGTAAGATTAAAATCAAATTTATGTTATTGTTTTATTACACGTTTGTTATATATATATATTTAAGTGCGATCAAAAACTGTGGCTCTTTAGGCTGTCATTTATTTAGGCCTACTGTGTTACTACTGCGGAGGAGCAAACAGGGAGGAAAGAGGGAAGTGGGAAAGGGAAAGGAAGGCTGGGGAGAGAAAGAAAGATAAGAGGCGGAAGCGAATGTCTGGATCATTGCAAGAGGACGTGGGAGAAGTGACGTGATGGATGATAAGAGACGTCGATTATTTTGTGGAAAGGAAGGACAGGGAGAGAGGAGAAAAGCAAGAGGGAGGGAAGAAAAAGAGGCAGTGAAAGAGAGTGATAAATGGGAGAGAGGAGAGAGAGAGAGAGAGAGAGAGGAGAGAGAGAGAGAGAGAGAGAGAGAGAGAGAGAGAGAGAGAGAGAGAGAGAAAGCAACTGTCAGGTAATGGCAGGCGAGGGGAGAAAGGAGAGATAATTTTAAGGAATAGGAATTGTGAAGGTCAGGAATGAGATCAGAAAGAGACAGTGGATGGGAGGAGCTCAAATGATGGTAAATAATACTTGAATATGTCGTGTGACTGATCAAATCATAATAATAACAATAATTATTCCTACAAGTGCATGTACAAGGTATACAGGTCTAGCTGACGTCAGTGACATACTACTGTACAGAAGCCTCTGTTTTGCAAAGCATTTTGAGCAAATTCGATCAATTTTGTCTCCGGGATGCAACACACACCAGAAAACTAACACCCAGGTACATATTTACTGATAGGTGAACATAGACAGCAGGTGTCTAAAGGAAATACCTCCTAGTGTTTTCAGCCGTACCGGGGATCAAACTGCGGACTTAATTGTGTGAGCTGAGGGCGCTAGCAATCGAGCTATGGGACACTATCTAAATAATGTCATTATACTGCTGAATCAATGCATCACCTTGCAACACTGCCTTGCAATCACCTTGTAACATACAGTAATTAACCATCGGTGGATTTCCCCGATCCTTCCTCAGCTACTCCGTACACTCACGATATATTAGACACTGTGCAACATTTGGATATTGTTATTGTGTAGACGTTTCGCCCACCAGGCTGAGGGACTGATTACCTCATCTTTTGTATATAGTTCTACTGTCTTCAAATTATGTCCTAGAATCTGTATTGATAAAGCCACTGAATGGCGAAACGTCTACAATAAAGATACCCAGATGTTGCATATGTGTCTCAGTTTTCAGCTGTGACTCTTTGTTTTCTAAGTGTGCGAGTCGCGAGTGGCCTGTACGTAGCAGCTTTGTGTATCCCTGAGCGTTGAGTATGCTGGTAACGTGTAACTCTTGTTGTAGCCAGCAATATGTAGCGGTGCCTGTAGCGAGCAACACGTAGAGCCTGTAGCAAGCAATACTCTGACGCAGCTCACGCACGAGCGATTTTGTCGCACGAACGAACTGCTGTTTTATTTCCGCCGTATATACGAGTTTGTCCTGACGACGCAGCAAACCTTAAAATTATTCAGTTTTCCTTCACGCGCACACACACACACACACACACACACATAGTTCCTTGATAATGTGAGTAGTCACGAAAGCGCTTGGAATTTCTCTATTCTTTCAGAGTGGTTGTTTTGCACACACACACACACACATATATATATAATATATATATATATATATATATATATATATATATATATATATATATATATATATATATATATATATATATATATATATATATATATATTATATATATATATATATAATATATATATATATATATATAATATATATATATATATATATATATATATATATATATATATATAACTTTCTCCAAACAGTAGGCAGTGTGTTGTGAGAGACCGTGGCTTATCCAGATCCTCGGTGCTGGAGTTACCCGACCTACATGAAAGCCCCAATAAGTGCGCACTTAATAACTTGGGTACTTACATGCAAGATAGTAGCCGGGTGTGCACCTGTATACCCGTTGGATGAGTCACTTGTCACGGCCTAGTTGGGTTGATCACCCTCGGAATAGGTCTGTATCAAGGGAGGTACGGGTAAATTCGCGAAAATCGTGAAGGAAGTTCAGGTCTCGCGGCTCACCAATGTAAACGCGACTGCCCGCCCGGCTTGGCCTTCTCCCTGGTCACTGAAATTGCCGGGCTAAGAGTGCCTGTAGCATAGATTGTGGGAAGCATAATTACTACAGTAAGCTAACGACTGTCTCTAACTAAATAAATGTAGTATTAAGTAGTAACTGGGCGTGTAAGTGGCCTAAAGAGTTACTAGCTAAGTCTAAGAAATAAATCTATGTGCAGGAGCCGGCACCTCATAGACGTTGTGTTCCCCCCCACTTCCCTACATTCCCCCTGCAGGGGGATGAGTGTAACGGAGTTTGGAAAAATCGATGCTTTCTACATGGAATGAGCATTGTGAGGAGGTTGCGAAGACTAACTCCATGCAGTTTTACGAATAGGTATGACAGAGCTAGGAGATGAGTCACGTTTCTTATAAACAACTCGGTGAGTTCACACATACACATACACGACCAGCGAAGAGGTGGGGCCAGGAGCTGTGACTCGACCCCTGCAACCACAAATAGGTGAGTATGCACACACACATACACACACACACACACACACACACACACACACACACACACACACACACACACACACCACACACACACACACACACACACACACACACACACTAGCCAGAACACGAGAACAAGATAAGAGCACTAACGAGTAAGCTAACGATGTGTCAGCCAAACTTTACAAAACCCACAAATCTGGCCATCAGCGCGGCTTTAGCAGGAGCACCTCTCTCAAAATACCGGGCGAGGCATCTTAACGAAGCATGGCAGTTGTTTCACCCTCCTTTTTATACCACGAACTTACCGTGCAAAATACTGCATTTTCTTCTCTAATCTTGATAGTTCACTGTTCTGGTTTATATCTTAGAAGTATCTTAGAATTGCTGAAGTGCTAAAAAAAAAAAAGTCTAAATGCCTTTTAAATGTCATAGTGATAGCTTAAAAATGACTTGAAAAATCTTAGAAGTATTTTAGAAGCAGCCATCATGGCTATAATCAAGCCCCTGTCTGCAAGGAAGAGATTATGAGGAGGTATTTCTCAGAGTTTACAAAATGACCAAGCGCTCTTGCTGAGACTTAAGAATTTGGCCTGGAGTTATATCCGAGAGCTCACAGCTTAACCTTAGGAGACTGAGAGTTCTGAGAGCTCGTGTTTGTGTGTGTGTGTGTGTGTGTGTGTGTGTGTGTGTGTGTGTGTGTGTGTGTGTGTGTGTGTGTGTGTGTGTGTGTGTGTGTGCTCACCTAATTGTGGCTGCAGGGGTCGAGACTCAGCTCCTGGCCCCGCCTCTTCACTGATCGCTACTAGGTCCTCTCTCTCTCTCTCTCTGCTTCCTGAGCTTTGTCATACCTCGTCTTAAAGCTATGTATGGTTCCTGCCTCCACTACATCACTTGCTAGGTTATTTCACTTCCTGACGACTCTGTGACTGAAGAAATACTTCTTGACATCCCTGTGACTCGTCTGAGTCTTCAGCTTCCAATTGTGACCCCTTGTTTCTGTGCCCCCTCTCTGGAACATCCTGTCTCTGTCCACCTTGTCTATTCCACGTATTATTTTGTATGTTTTATCATGTCTCCCCTGACCCTCCGTGTGTGTGTGTGTGTGTGTGTGTGTGTGTGTGTGTGTGTGTGTGTGTGTGTGTGTGCGTGCCTTTGCTTGGCTTGGCTTGTAGTCAGGAGTGTCTTGGAAGCCTTCAATACGTGGAGTGATGGAGATTGGATGATGCCATGATGTAACCGTGGAAGCTTTCTCTCGAAATGGATAGAACGATGGCAGAATTCAAAGCGCATTGGACGGACAAAAAAAAAAGACATGCAGAAAAGCAGGACAGGCAGGCAGACAGAAACAACCAAAAGAGACGCAGATAAGCAGGCGGAAAAACATGCAGAAAGAAAAAACAACAGATAAAACAGACCTGGATAAGCTACGATCCTCCTGTCTCCGACAGGCTGTGCCACCACACCAGGAAAAAAAAGACAGAGACACAAACAGAAGAAGTTAAAAAAAAAGTAAAGAAAGGGTGCATGCGGCCTCAATCAGAGGAGACCAAGTCAATATTGATACTGACTTGAATACATTACCGTGTAATTCTCAGTAAACACAGGAGACCAGAGAGAGGAGAAACCCCCATCAGTGTTGAGGAAGGATGGAACCGCTGAACTAATATATTATTAAAGCTCTGTAACTTCTTGGCGAGTGTGTGTGATTTAACTTGTGTGTGGGGGGGGGGGAGAGGTAGTGTGTGTGTTTGACCGGTGTGGGTAGCGAGCGTATGATCAGAATGATGAGAGTAGTGGGTTTGCAGTTTAAGTGGCGAGAGAGAGGTGGTCAGTGGTTGCGTTTGGTCAGGAAGTTGAAAGCATCTGGGAGTTTAAAGGCAAGATAAAAGCTTGCGCTCTGTGTTGAGTGTAATCAAGTCGTTTCCTTCACGTGACTGTCTTTGAGGGAAGAGAGGAAGAAGGGAGACTAGATTCCATCAACTAAGCCCAGCTGTCTCATGCCCTTCAGTCGTCTAGAACTGTGTGTACTGGTATTTCCTCTCCTACTTCCTTCTGAATCCGCTTTTAGATTCGTCCTCCATTCATAAACATTCTACTTGGTTTTACTCGCCCATTTCCTAATTCTACTAATTCACCTCCTAGCTAGTACCGCTGATATGCTTCTTTGTTAGGATGCACTAAATTAATTTCTGGATAAGTTCACTAATTTCCTAGAAAAGTTAACTAACTCACTAGACCGTTTCACATTTTTGTAACGCCTATTTTGAGAAAATCTTTTTTCATGTTATTTCCAGGTATTCAGAAATTGAACATCCATTCCCCCGTCCTCTTGTCTTTCATGTTTTTTTCTCCTACACATTTCCACTATTTCTCTCTCTCTCTCTCTCTCT